TAAGGATAAAAGTGACTACTAGAAAAATACCTTTGTGCCATTTAGGAAAATACGCAGCAAATGAATACATTATCCTGGTATTTGGAACACTGTGCCGAGAGTTTGCGTGAACTTTGAAGACCAGGTTGGGATGGGGGGGGGGGGGGACTGTGCTAATTTTGCCTCCTATAAGTAGACTAATTTACCTTTTATGCCAACAAATGAAGGTCATAAACATTCCCGGAGCGCACGGCGACCAATACCGTTCGTTGAAACAATATTTTGCAGACATTTTGCGATCAATACGAACTGAAGCATAATGATATTCCAATCTATTAATGCTCTTTAATGGCCCCCTCGTCCAGTTTGCATCGCATAATAAGTCGATACAGTGAAGTGATTATCTCGAATATACGTTCTCCCCCCACCCCGGCCACCCACCCACACACAGACAACATTTTATGAAATAAACGGACTTTGAAGTGGGGGGAAAAAAAGTTGGTAGCGAAAAATGTACTAACCTATTAATTGTCGTCGCTTTTTTTTTCCTTCTGGGAGTCGCTAACTATGTCAAAGATTGAGGAAGAGATTAACGTCGAGGTTGAAGTCTTGGGTTTTTGGAGAGTTCGCCAAAGATGTTGTGCAGTTGTTAAAAAAATATATATATATATAGAGGGCCACAGTAGCTGAATTGAACTCAGTCTCCAGTAAGTGCACAGCCCTTCTGAAGCCTGACCTGGGCAGTGGTGGAAAGGTTATATCTGCTTGGAACGATTGTGCTGTTTGATATACAAAAAGTTCCTCTTGTTTTGCACCAAATAAAAAAATACGTATGTTTTGATACAAACAAGAAGACGAGACATATGCAGGCAGGTCTACATCAATGTGCACGAGTGCAAACCATTAAACAAAGAAACAGATTAGGGAACCGGCGCGTTTAAATGTAACTAGAAACTATTCATATTTATTATGAATCCAGCGAGGTGCAAATGGGCCCTTTTATCTCTACGGTGTTGCTTCATGTAGGTTAAACAAAACAACCCCTTCTTTGTCATGTATGCAATCCAATGCTTTGCAAACAGTGCTAAGAAACACTTTTTTTTTAAAAAAAACAATAATTTGGGCATACTTTTCCAGGGACAAATAATGTTCAATAAATGTCCTCACAAACGCATACGCATAAGGGAGAATAACAGCCTTTAGTGAAATTATCTCTCTGTTTCTAAAAGGTTTGGGAGAATGCTTATCGGTGAAGATTAGAGAGGTATCTACAGGCACAGAGTTAGAGTAAAGATAGATTTATAAAACAGAGGAAGTATTACGTTGGGTTATTCAGGACTGTGGTCACCACTTTCAGAAACTTTGAGTGGAAATCGTATTTAATTTCAACCATTTTCCACCTTCTATTCACTGAGCAGCCACTGAGCGAGAAATGGTGTGAGGGAAAAGCTGAGAGAAGTGGACACCAAAAAGACTGGAGCGATAGTCGGGAAAATAATAGGGAACACAGTAACATGAAAGCGCAAACAAGAATTGAAACTCTTTTTCTAACTTCATGACATTTCACTCGGTTGTAGTTTAAAGAGTCGGTTTTCATTGCAGTGAGGCGAGCGATTGCATTTCTGCTTAAATTGTCCATTAGTGTTACAGAGGGGACAGCGAAGTGGTGAACGAACCCTCTGTGTGTGCTGTGCAGAATAAATACCTGGCGAATTCTCACTTAAACTCCTGTTGTGAACAAGCTCTCGTAAAGTGAAGCCACAAAGAGAGACACAGTCTAGTTGTGTGGTGAGCTTCAAGTAACAGGAAGCTCGCAAAATCATTAAAATATCTTTGGGGTGGGGGAGGGGGTGGGGGGGAGGAGGAGAAGTGGAATGACTGTAATTACATATCTTCAACATTCAATTAAATATAAATGATGTCCTAACATATTTTGAAATAGTTCACTTGTTAACGCTTGATTGTATTTGAATATATTAAATATTATTCTCAGGTGGTGTGCACTATTTATTGTAAGTTCAAGTCGTAACGCTGCATTGATTGCTTGTTTCATTCAAATAATAAATTATTGAATTAAGAGGAGGCGAACGGCCTCAACTGATACAGTTTTAGCCCAAACCCAAAAGCTGGCATTAAGAAGATCAAATGTTTTACTCACTTATAAAGCAAATTGATTTGGAAAGCAATGCGAGGGAGAAGGGTGGGGGCGATTTCCTTTAGTTTGACAATTAATCAGATACAATATTATTGCTATGCTATAGCAGCCAAATTGCGTAAAAATCGGCGCACCACGCCCTTTTATTCCAAAATGTTTCCAAATCGGCATTTGCAATAAGATGTGATGTGTTCAAGTACAAGTCGAAGTGTGAACATGTTAAGTTTGATCCGACTTGTGTCAGACCAGCCAGTTCTCGATAGAGTACAGATTAGGTCGGTCAAAGTAGGTTTTGGCATAGTCAATGCAAAATAAATGTATTTTTATTATTTCTGTTGATCAAACCGGTGGGTGTTTGTTGTATCAACGTGTTAAGATTTCATATCGACTCTGTTTTCACAGAGTTAGTATTGCAAACAACAGGAGACACGCCTGTGTTGTCACTGCACACAGGGAGCAACATGTTTTGACTTCTATTTTGTGTTTATTTTCATTCATTTACACGTAATAGATTGAGAAAAATCAGCGGCAAAATAGGTGACTTGTCAACCTCTTGTCACCTCAAAAACATCTAGCGGGAATGCTGGCAAAATTCACTTTAGCCTGCCTATAAACTCAGAGCAATTCAATCTAAAAAATTTAAAAGGTAAGGCGTCCAGTCGTTTTTTTAGACGTCAGGCATTGCGAATCCAATAAAAGAGGAGTTGTTATTTTTATCAAGACCTTTATAAGTGACCTTCTTCCAAAAAAATGGAAATGGATAAAAAGATACGATCTGTACACCGACCACTGCTACATATCTGTGCACTCAAGGAATGACTTAACCCGGTTGGTCCAGACTCACTTAATCCAGCAACATCCTTGTGCACTCGTTCCCTTCACCTGGTTTACTGACCACCGTTTACATGTTATGCCATTCCCTAAATGGAGAGCACCTCTTTTGCTTATCACAGGACACACGTGGCACCGCCAAATAAACCAAGTTCCCCCTCAGCATAAAAATGCAGAGTTAAATCTCTGCAAAGTTGACCACTTTAGCTGTGTTGCCTTTGGAATAGGATTCCCCCCCCATTTATATATAAACGCAACGCCGGTAGTCAGTAACTTTACTGACCGGTGAAATCTCACCCAACACACAATTCAAGTGCACTATATTGCTGACTGCTGCAGTATATAGTCAACTTTAGCTCTCTGAGACCCGTCCAATAAACTCATCATTATTCCCCAATGTGATCTTCACTTCAACACTGAAAACAATTTGAAAAGAGGAAACCAAAATTCCAGCACAGGTATCAACTGCACGTTCAACTGTAAATTCTCGACTTGGGTTACGTTTACTTTTGATTAACAACTGTCTGATGTTGCGTTGGACGAAATGGGGAATCAGGTGTGATTAGAAATATAAAATATTGCTTTAATGCAGTTTTTTTTAAAAAAAAACTCTATATGAAATGTAAAACATGGACCAAAAGAGAATTATCCCTAACAGTCCTTTAAAAAAATAACGATATATAAATATAGGTGAATCGTTTTATTAATAGAATCTACATGTCGTATTTTAAGTACAAAATACTAACTCAGTTTGTTTTCCTTTAAATTACTGATGGTAAATTATATGGACTGAGTGAAATCTTGGGCCTGCGAATTGATTATGTTGAAGTATTTCTAGGGATTGTTTTTAAAGGTTAAGTATATTCGGAGAGTTTATTCCGTTGTTTCTGTGTGGCAGGTCGTTTTATTATATAAGACTTACACATTTGAATAACAAGGAATGCTTACATTTTTATTGTAATTTTTTTCCACAACAAATCTGTTCAACAAAATTCGTTATTACAATATCAAAAAAAACGTCAATTCTGTTAAAATCTTCGCTATTGCTAAAAACATACAGAATATCCAGTACTTCGGCAAGTAAATAACTATGATACATACACCCGGTCAAAAAAATATCAGAAACAATAAAACACAAAACAGTGTCCTGAAAAAAAAAACGATAATCTTTATCTCATGGCGTCTGTCAATAATTTTACAATCCGTGGTAAATGGGAAGGTGGGTGGGGGGGGGAGAAAAAAGACCTTTTTTGTTCACCACGCGAAAAAAAAACAGTACACTTATTAAATAAATTAACAAAAAAATATTATTTTTTTTTTCTCTCTCTGATTGTCCTTCGGTTAAAGCGCCTTTTCATCAGAACCTGTGTTAATTAATGTCTGTACTCGCCAGTGCCCATCTCCAAACCGTGCCATTCCAGTTAGACCGACATAAGTTGCATCCCAACTTGCAATGATTCATTCATTCGTTCGCCCCACACTCCCGACAGTGCTTTAACTTCTTAAGTACAATATTGCACAGATGCTTTAAAAAGCATAATGATCAGCAACATTTCTTTTCACGATTGCTTCGAGTACTTACAAAAGGAAGAAGAAGAAGAAGAAGAAAAAAAGAGACAGAAAGAAAGACATTTACGGTTCATCCTCTTCGCAGGTGCGTCGGGACTCCTGAAAAACTACAAGGTTTGTTAATCTTACGAAACAAAAGTAATGGGGTGGGGGAGTGGGGAGTGGGGGGGGGAGAGAGAGAGAGAGATGGGGGGGAGGGGGGAGAGAGAGGGTGCAAGAGGGTGGGTGGGTGGGGGGGGGGGGGGTCAACAGATGTGACTACTGGGGTAATGAGCAAGTGGACAAATTTACAACTGGTCTTCCTCGGGATGGGGGTGGGGTGGGGTGGAGTGGGGTGGAGTGGGGTGGCGGTTGTTTCCAAACTACAAGGTTTTTTGTTTGTTTGTTACAAAAAAAAAGTAATAATACAAGTGACATGTGTTGAGGGGGGGAGGTTGGGGGGTGGGAGTGGGAGTGGGGAGGGCTT